ACATGAAGGTAAGAAGTATTTCATTACAAATCTTTATTTTTTTCATTTCCTCTATTTTGTATATATAAATTCATATTTATTTTCATGAAGATTCACATACAAAATTATAATTTCTCTTCTTTATCACATTTGTTTGTGAATTAACTAACAAGTAACAAAAAAGAAGTACATGAAGGTAAGATATATTTTATTCTCAAGTCTTTCTATTTATTTTTATGTACTTAGACATGCTTTCTCAATATTTTATTTATGTTTGTATTATCATTCATCAAGCAAGTATGATTAAAAAAATGTCTCTATAATTCTTAACAATGTGTTGTCTGTGCAATTGTTCTTTCTAATAGTTAATTTTCCGGATATAATATAGTTTAATTATAATATTTGTTAGATTTCAAGAAATGATTATTATTTAGTATTGTTAGTACTATTTAAAAAAAATATACAAATATACTACATATAGTTTAAATTTATATAGTTTAAATTTCTTTCTTTCTTTTGATATAATTATTTTTAATTGGCATATGATATTTTTTTTATTCAGTTGGTCGCATAAAATAAAGAGTTTGACATATGGAGCAAAATATGGTGGCGGATCTACTTGCAAAGGAAGACGGTAGAAGGAAAAAAAAATGAAGTATAATTAGAGATTATTTTTGCTAGATTTTTTCTTTTCACTTTGACTTGTGTTAGTAACTTAGTTACTTTTAGTAGAATTTTTTAAATTTTGGATTGTATAAATAATTTAGCTAAATGTATTGTCAACGTTAATCATTTGATCCTTTACTATTCTACTTTTTCTTTGTTATGAAGCAAAATTAATATAATTATCACATTTCAGCAACAAAAAATTATGATGATTAGGAGTTTCATTTTTATTATACTTGCAAAAAAAGTAATTGAAAAATAAAATATTAGTTTCATGATGCTATTTTTTTTTTGCGTATGTAACAATCTGTTTTCGTCATCATCCTTTTTGGTTTGAAATGTATTTATATTTTCTTTGTTCATTTTTTGTATTTTCACCCCTTATTTTTATTTATTTATTTTATAAATAAAATCAATGCATAATTAGTACTCCTAATACATTTAATGTCTAATAAAATTATGCATTTAAATTATTTATAACTCATGTCTCTTCATCTTACTTGTAACTTCTAATATTAAATATTATTCATAACTATTGTATGTTTCATTTTTCATAATTCTTAATAATATTTAATTAATTTTAAAAATTATAATAAACAAATGTAATAATAAAGACATAATAAAAATTCAATTTTGTTTTTACGAAATCAGAGTTTGTATAGAAAAATTAGTACTCCTACAAAAGATAGAGGAAGTTAAAACATATAAAATATTTACAACGTAATACATTATATTGTTATTTCAACACATTACCTCTTATTCCATTTACTTCACCACGATGAATATTTTGTTCTACTATATACATATACAAAAAATACATTATATTTTATATGTTTAAAAAAAATGAAAAAAGTGTATGATATTGCAGATGAAGAGAAATATTAATATTATTTATGTATTCGATACTAACCTAAATATAAATATTACATATTATTATCTTATAAATATTTCATATAGCCGCGCGAAGCGCGGATACTTTCGCTAGTTATAATTATAATATTATAACTAGAGAAAACGGTCTAAAACCCCCCCAACCTATACCCGAAATCCCAAATACACACTCCAACTTTACAGGTGTCCTATTACCCCCCCTGAACTTTATATTTCTCTATTTTCTACACACTTAAATGCTTACCTGTCAAAAGAGGTGAGAACACCTCCTCTAGGCGTGTTAGAAGGTGAGAACACCTTCAATTTTGACGAAAATTTTCTCTTTGTCCAATGGTTATCTTCCCCACCATTAAATAAACCATTGTTTCTTCTTCCCCACCATTAACCCTTGTTCCTTGTATAAAAAAATCATGATTTTCTCTCAAAAATAGGTAGGGTTTAGTTGTTTATGTTCATTTCTACTTCAAATCTTGAATTTAGGGTTTGTAATCTGCTCTAATTTCTTATTTACGTCTCTAATTTGAATTTTGAATTTTCTCAAAATTCATCAAAAATGGCAAATGAAAACTTGAAAGGATGATTTTTGGGTCTTTTACGTTTTAGGAGGTAAATGGGGGGAAAAACAGGAATTGGGAGTTTAAGAGGCGGGGGACCCGGCGCGTACAATCACGTTGGACTATGTATTTGGTTTATGTGTTGAGGTCAGCATTTAAGTGTACAGAAAATAGAGAAATATGAAGTTCAGGGGGGGGGGGGTGTTAGGCTATTTTCTCTTATAACTAAAAAATTGAAGTGTAGTTGTTGGACATCATATTCCACCATTATGTAATTAAATTAATAGTATTTAATAAATAAATTAATTTTATTTTGATTTAGTGGAGGGAGAAAATGGTAATCCAGCTTTGAAGATTGAAGCTTCCCACTTTTAATATATATTAGTCTCTGGACAGGCGCGTTGCGCGTGTGTCCCATACGTCAATAATTACAAACTCTTATAGAGTTAAATAAATATTATATTTTAGAACGTAATACCAACTTAACCTCAACCAATTCATCTTACTATTTGCTTCCTTTAAAAATAAGGGTGAAATTATAATATTATAATATTAGATCGATCCTATGCATAACTTTAAAGGAATGAACCAAACCTTGCATGTATAATTTATAAAAAAAAAACAACGAAAATGTCGAATCAAATGAATTTGGTTTATGTAAATATAAGGTAATCAAACTTAGTTATTGTAGGACAATGTAGAAGATGTCAAACTTGCTATAGGCTTTATTGTACTCTCAAATCATAAATTAATTTAGTTGGTTTATTAAAAAATAAATCATACCAGCTTCAATAATTAAATTCAAACAATATCGTTATTAATTTTAAAAGCAAGACAATCATTTGGATGTTAAAAAAAATGTTCAATTAGTATGAATTAAGTAAAAAAGGTTTATTTTAATTCACCGAATATTTTCATAGCATTGAAAGAGATTTTGTAGTTGTTTGTACCTAGAACTTCATCCTAATTTTTTCTGTTTTTATCTCTTTTCTCTTCATCTGAATTCATGAATATAGACACCTCAACTATTGATTAGTTTAAGCAAAAGCAAAATAAAATTAAAAAACAAAATCCTCTCGTGTCCGTTTGTATTTCCAAAACATTGTAGTTGTGAACATAATAATTATAGTTATTAGTAATTAGTTGAGAATACCAAATTCACTCCAAGCCAAATAGCACTGGATACATTGCAAGGCAATATGTATAGTGATTTTACATTTCTACACAAAATAGTAACAAGAAATTCCAGAAAGAGATACAATCATAAATAAAGAATTAGAATTGAAACCATCCTTTGTAATTTGAAAAAAAATCTATAAATGATAAAAATCTTACAAACAAACAATAGAAGATGGAAAAGAAGGAACTTTACCATAGGAGTACGTAGAAATTCTAGTGGAAGAATTCAAGATGACAAATTTGTATTTGGTAATGGTATATATTGATTTAGCTACAACTCTTCATATTCTTTAATTTAAGATTAAAAGTGGGAAAACCTTGATTCTTGTACTTATTTAAAATTTTAGAAATCCTAATTGTCTCTTGTTCTTCCATATTCCCTTTCTAATAACTAACTTACAATTCAAAAATGATTAAAATAATATTATTTAATTAATTAGATGTTTAATTTAGTCTAGGGGTAAAATGGTAATCCAACTTTTCATCTTTGGAGCTTCCCACTTTTAGTAAGACTAGTTTCTGGACACGTGTGTTGCACGTGTGTCCCATGTTAATTAGTACAATATTTTAAAATGATATAGATGATGCTAAAACATGTAAGTAATAAGTGACAAAATTTAGGAAAGGGTAATTGTGTGTAGCTATAAACAATCAATTGAATTGGTATAACATTATTCTTATGTAGTTCTCATATATGTTATACTCAGTGTGGCATTTTCCTTATTTTTAAAATATTTCAAAAACATATAGTTTATAGGTAAACAAAAGTAACGTTGATTATGTTTGTAAATGTTTCATATCTTAAAGTTTGTGTCTTATTTTTAAGAAACTATAGTCTCCTCCTTCTTATATCCACATACATATCAAGATGTTGTTTCTGAATATAAATTGTATTTTATAATGTAGAAATATTGATTAACATATGTCTTCTTTAAGATGGATAATGTATCGTTGTCAGTTTCACGGGGTACACTTGAAAAAATCATATTTATTTGTAATAGATAATTGCATGTACAACTTTCTTTGTTTGATTCAAGATTATGAATCCTTCATGTGTAAATTTTGTATGAGAATATTAACTAAATTGTTTAAATATTATAGTATTACGAAATATAACATAATCAATCCATATTCACAAACAAGTTGGAACTGACTAAAGTAGTGCAATTTTCTAAAGACAATGGCACAATCCTTGTTTATGATTATGCATATGCTATGTATATATGTGATGACAGTCCAAAGCCCAATTTGAGATTACTGGACCAAACACGTAAATTCAGATCATGTTGTTTGGTCAACATTAAGTTTGACTTTGTTTTCTAGTGAAAGCGTTTGCTATCATTTGGTCAAAACCCTATAGCATGTAACAGTATAGTATAGATGACAAAACTCATAATGTTTGTATATCAGATTGTTAGCAGTTACTTATTGGCTATAACGATCCATGTACTTCTATTACTCTTTTTAATCTCATTTCAACCATACCTCAATTACATGCTTCTTAGAGTCGGCATATGCATTCTCACTATTCATTTCACTCTTTTTGGACCCATTTCATTCTAGTATGCACTACTAATTTATGGATCTCAAACAATACAAGTTCTCTATATTTCTTAATGAGACACATCTTAACAAACTAAAAAGATTCCTAGTGAATTGGCCTAATGTATGTTTATCTTCTTCATGACTAAGCATAATTCCAATGATATGACTATCTTATCTATTATGTACCTGATGATGCGATGGAGAAGGGAAAAGTTCACAATTGCAAGATAAGATCTGAAGCAAAGAAAAATAAATACAAATTAGTAATTAGCAAACACAAAGGCTAAGCAAATACAAGAGAAAACTATAAAAAAAAATTAGAAGTCAAAAATGATAATTAATTCATTATATATATATATATATAATGACAGTAGCTATTCATATTCCAAAACTAAAGAGTCTATGCATTAGTTATACCATTCAATTAGTTAAATGATTAGAAAACTGAAAATATTTAATTTAATACGGAAAACTAACTATATGCTTTGAAAACAGAAAATATTTAATTTAATACGGAAAACTAACAAAATGTTTTGAAAACAGAAAATAATATACGGTTTAAATAGCTGAAGTTGTATGGTAGCTGGAAATGGAATTGAGCCATTGAAGAGACATAACTCATAATTGATAAATAAAAAATTAACTTTTGAGTTGGTTTAATAATTAATAATTAATTAATATATATAATTTATAATTTTTAGTTAAAAGCAATGATTTGATGTGCTAAATTAAAATGATATAAAATTTAAAAATAATACCTCAAATCGTAGTTAATTGAACTTGAATTTCTGAGATTTATGCCCTGAATGTTGCACAAAGGCCTCAGGAAAAAATTGGGCAGCAAAAATATGATGGAAGGAAGAAGATATTTGGTTAATTTATTTGGGAGTAGAGTAAGCAGTGGGTAATAAATAATTCTGTCCAGCACATGGAAATCAACATGGATAACATGTTTGTTGTGCGGACTTGCCACACCAAAAAGTTACCAAACAAATAAAAAATGGGTAATGCTAAATGGTCAGAAAATTTGATCAAAATTTGGTCAGAAATTTAAAAAGTTTATGATATTTTTTTTATTTTAAAATAAACTAATATTTTTTCACTTTTTAATTAAAAGGTATTAAAATTAAAAGGATAAAAATATTTAAAAAGATAAAATAACATAAGTAAAATATAATTCTAGCCAAAGATTTTTCCATAAAAAATTAGGGCATCTCTGAACACCCAACTTGGCATGTGAAATTTCAACACAAAAGACAAAATGTGCAACTTTGATTCGAAGTGTTGGTATATTATAAAATCAAAACTAATGTTTTAACATTAATTGAAACGGAAGTGCGTTGTTTTCCTTCTTTATTGGAGTATTTCCAAATCATATATTATTTTTTATTTTCTTCTCTCATCATGGTCAATTTGGCTCCTTTGTTTTGTTTTTTTGTTTTTATGTTTTCTTTTAGTCCTTTACTTTCTGTATTTTTTTGCTTCTTTTCTATCAGTAAAAAATAAACGGAAAAGGCTCAGAAATATCTTTAAATTATTCAAAATAGCTCATATATACCCTTGAACTATATTTCGGGTTAAAACTACCCTTACCGTCATACTATTGGATCAAAAATACCCTTCTTATTAACGGAAGTTGTTAAATGCCATGTGAATGCCATATGGCATGCCATGTAAGCGCGCACAATTTCATTAATTTCCACATAGACTAATCCTTTCACTTTCCTGTGAAGTCTTCTTTCACACGAATCAGCGCTAATATCTATCCCGACGCCATTAACCAGTCAAGGCCTCTTAACCGTAGATTTACTTCACAAAGACCCATCCAAAATAATAAATAAATTATCAATTTACTAGTAGAAAAATACGATAACTTAACTTATTTCATTTGTAATTTTGCGTATTAAATTAAAAATATATACTATAAAATATATCAAAACTCTTTATTCTCACTCCCAAGATAATCATTATAAATTTGTTGTGTTGTTGTTTAAAGGTCTATTTGTGCTAGAAGGCAATTGTTATATGGAAAATCAAACAAAACTGTTGGCTTCTCCTCTGGCCTTTTAACAAAATATTGTTAAGAATTTCATACATAAATGTATACTCTACGGTACTCTAAATTTGACCAAATAGTATGACGGTAAAGGTAGTTTTGACCCAAAATATAGTTCAAGGGTATATATGAGTTATTTCGGATAGTTTAGAGGTATTTTTGAGCCTTTTCCGAAAAATAAACTTAGCCAAATTAAAAGAAGAAGAAAAGATTTCATTGTTTGCTCAATTTGAGGGTGCCACTTTTAGAGGATAGTCCCTAAAATAGATTCATGAAAATTTCTTGGACTCGAGAGCATCCTTAAAACAAAATAATCTCAACGTACGAGGTTCAACCCAAAAACAAATTATCTAATTGGCCAAATTCATCGGTGGCCACCTAAAGTTGACATTAATTTTTCCTTAGACATCTTAACTAAGATTTGTTCGTTTTAGACATCTCATGTCATGCCTCGCTATGTCATTTTGACACTTTTTGCTGAGATGGCATAGTAAGTGTGATACACTAATTAACTGGACGCGCGTGAGAGCCTCATTTTACCAAATTTTAATTTTTTTTTTTCTTCTTCTTCTTCCCATTTTTTGGCTTACCATTTTCCAAGCTTAAACTCTTTCCATGGTGAAATAAATTTGACGATGCCACAGAGAAAAAAATGAATTCTAGCACCCATAACTTTCTCTTATTTTGTTGTCCTTCCTCCTCAAAATAATTTGAGAAAAATCAACATAAATTTTAAGAAGAATAAAACACAATCAAAAATGGCAAGAAATCACATTTCAATTATCAAATCCTACATTCACAACAAACAATTTTAGTGTTACAATCTATTTGTATGTGTTCTCACATCATAATCACAGAAAAAGTCCAAATCAAATAGATAAGCCATATATTTTTTAGTAGAAAGATTGGGAATCCATATTTATGTACTAAAGCAACAATTTTTGACTTGCATTGACCCAGAAATCCAGAAAAAAGGAAAAGAAAAAAAAAACCCCAAAAAAGGTCAAGCAAATGCATTACCATATTCACCAAATCAAGCATTCAAAGATTGATCTATCAGACGTTCTTATCTCACAACATTCACAAAGTGACAAAAGCAAACAAAAAAAGCTTCTTCTTTTGACACATTTGGGTGGGGAGGGTCAGGGGAGGTGGTGGGTGGAGAAGACGATATGGGTGAGAGAGAGGGGGTGGAATTTGAGGTGGGGATAGTGGAGAAGACAATTTGGGGTGGAGGTGTGTGTATAATTTTTTTTAACTAAAAGTGGTCAATTTTTTTAAAAATTACTTAGTTAAAGAAATGTCAATGAGTCATTGGTAGTTTTTTCTACTCCAAATTCATCATTTAATTATTATTATTTTCATATATGACACATGTCTTAATTTAATTCGTCACTCTGACACGTCATCAACGAGTGTGTTACACACCTTACAAATTTGGCAGATTGTCGAAAAAATGTCAAAATGGCACAGCGGAACATGACATGAGGTGTCTAAAATGAACAAAGCCTAGTTAAAGTGTCTCTAAGTGAAAATTAATGTCAACTTTAAGTGGTCACCGATGGGTTAGACCTATCTAATTAACCCACATATTAATATTACCTTCATGCCAATACAACTAACTCCAAAACAAATTAAAAAAACTGTCACATACAATGAAATAGATGAAGAGTACCCAATTCTTCTTATTTATAGTATAATCAAACAGGGGAACTCCAAATTTAAACGGCAAGAGTAACTTATAAGTATATCAAATGCTACCTAGGATTCTCCATTCCTTGCCTCTATCTTCATGAAATCAAGGTACGATTTTCCGTCAAGTTTTCGTGCAAAAAAATCCTGTAAATAGTTTTGCACAAGAACTCTTCGGAAAATTGGAGGATTATTTGGTCCAATGAGGCTATGTGCAGGTCCTAATTTGGAATCAAGATTGAAGGTAGAGAATGCTGCAACAGATAGCCTCTCTTTGTTTGAGTTTACAATTGCCCTATGCTCAATGCTCTTATAAACACCATTGCTTACTATCTGCCAAAGTCAAATATAACACATTTACGTACACACAACATGATGAGACGGTGAATAATACCAAACAAAAAATTGTAATTTACCTCCATCATATCGCCAATATTGACAATCAAAGCATTTGGGAGGGGCTTTATAGGTACCCAAATATCGTCTTTTCGGACTTGGAGACCTTCAGTTTCATTGAGCTGGAGAAGGATGGTGAGGGCATCCGCATCAGAATGAGGGCTTAAGCCAATTGCCCTGTCTGATTCAGGGCAAGGCGGATAATAATTCATCCTCATTGATTGCATACCATCACTGAATAGATCTTGCATTTCTTTTTCATCCATCCTTAAAGCCTTTGCCAATTGACACACGATGATCATTGCGAGGTTCTTGATTTCTTTAGAGTATTCTTCCATGATGTCCCTGCATTTCAAACACACAAACATATATATTAAGAGATGAGGAGAGCAAAGATGAAGGCACAAGTTAGAAATACAAGTTTTAACAAAAAGTATAGTATCAACAAGTCTGGTAATAATTGATCTCAAAGAATATTATGTTAGAGTGGATTAAAGTCCCACATTGGTTGGAGATTGAACTGACGGTCTGCTTATTTAGATTTGGACAATCTTCTCCTCGTAAGCTAGCTTAGGGGTTGAATTAGGCTGGTTGCCTTATCTTTACATTTATTCATTAGTTTTTATTTCTCTTCGCCACTATTACTCTATTAGTAAACCCTCCACCTTACCACCTTCAATTCTTTCTTCTTCGACACCTACCATCATCATTATCACTACGATTTCTTCTACTTTTTCACCAAAAAGATCTTAATTTCCATGGCAGTTCTATAAGCTGCACAATTATGGCATAATTTTTTTAAAAAAAAAAAAAAGAATCCCGCGGCCACATTAGCTTATAGGACGGTGTTAAATTTACTTTTTAATATGTAAGGAGATAAGCACCTGAGCTTTGAAGGCAACTTGGGAAACAAGTCGATTTTGCGGATACAAGGAGGAAGAGTTGCTATGACAAACATGTCACCCCAATCAAGCTTCTGCTCCTCCGATACAACGAATATACTCCCAAAACCTTCAAAGTTGTCTTCTTGTTGCCATAGTTTCTTCTTTTCTTCCATTGGAAGTTTGAACAATTCAATAACCTCACTCTTGAAGTCCTCCAGTAACGAAGGTGTCACTCCATGGTTTATAACCTAAACATTCAACAATATGCTAACAAATTTTACAACCTTTTCACAATTACAAAGCTAGGCGCTCTACCATTAAACAAAGAGTAATTTTTCCAAACCAATAGTCATACGACCAACAATTAGAAGGATTGTGCATTTTAGACTCTATTATTGCGCTTCATCTCAGATGTTTAATTTTAACTAATTAGATGAAAATTATGTTCAGAATAGAGTACGTTTGGCCAAAATTTCTGAAAGCGGCATATTTGTTGAGAGTAAATAGTGAAAAACATATCTAAAAATTAAAATATTCTCATTTTTTGAATTTTCTTCCTGAACCATCATGTGTTTACTTTTCTGATCGATGTGAACTATCATCAACAATTTATTAAAACACACATGAACTATCTGTTATTTTCTTTCCTACCTAAAATATCACCATGTTTAGGCAGAAAAAGAGAACAATTTGCGCACGTTCAGGCTTTTGCTATTTACGCAGGCCTTGATTCATCTTCTCTTATCTCTTCGTAACTTAAAACTTCAACTTGGTATCAGAGCAGACAGAGATCCTGAGATCGAATCTCACTGTCATTCAAAATTAAAAAGAACTTCTACGTGTTTGGCCCATGAAAAAAAATTAGGCTCGCACGTAAGGGGGCGTGTTACAATATCATTAAATAATAAAAGTGTGTCCCTCTAACAGCTTAAGCTTTTAGATGAGATGGTCACATACTTCAACACAATTGATAGTTCAAGTTCGTTTTAATAAAGATTTGTTGATAGTTCAAGCAGGAAGATTGCGCTCCTTATTGCTAATTTGTACAAGAGTCGCTTTTATCAAATAGCTTTTTAAGAGTCTTTTTTTCAATGCAAATAAATTAAAACGAAACCTGTAAAAAACCCCATTGTTGGCAAGCAGAGTGTAGTTTTTGCAGCTCAGAATCCATGGCATCCCCTGAAATCAACTTTTGAATATCGATAACAGGAACCGACGCTCCGGTGGATATGACCGGAGATTCTTGCTCTGGGTGGAGATACCTGTCCGGAATATTGGTTAGGTGCTGTTTGGCAAGCTCTTGAACACTTGGAACTAACAGAGATTTTCCAAAGTTCATTTTTGCCTGCGTTGATTCCATAGCTCTTTTTGCACTTGAAAATTAATTTGGGTTTTATGAATTTCTTCCAAAGACATATATATATAGTAGAAGTAATTTCTAATTTTTGTATATATGACGATACATACATTTTGTCATTGTATCATTGTGAGGTACCAGATTTACATCACCGCCTATTTTTGTTTTCCGGCAAACAAAATTTAATTAAAATACACTTTGATTAAATTTTTCATGTCCAAATAATATGATCGCGAAATGAGTATATCCAATTCCTTTGTTCAAAACTAGAAAAGCAATTTCGTCAGATCATTTCACTCATTAAATAACTATTCTAAAAATAAAGAAAGAAGACTATAATCCAAATCTAATTCTGTTTCAATTGACGTATGACATTGTTTACCTTTTTAGAACATTGCAAAGTGTTTTGGCTTTATACGGATGCTGAAATGATTTTTGTTCCATATTTTAGTTGTCACGGTCACTAAAAATATATGTCTTGTTATGAAATGTTATTATGGATATCTATTAGTAAATTTTTTCATGATATATATGTTGGGTTTAGCAAGGTGTGAATGGGAAATAAAAAGAGAAAATGGAAAGTGGAAGAACCAATGAAAATGGGGGATCCAATTTTGGAGGGAAAATGAAAAGTCATTGCAAAAGTGCAAATGAATAGTCATTTTTACCATATTGGTAGAAGAGAGGAAATTGTTGTCCTTATATTAGGAAACACTTCATTTAGTTCTTAAAGGTTAAGAAGAAGGTGCCCCTCGCGCCGTCGTCGTCGCTCGCTCGGCTTTGGATTTGGCAAATGATTGATTGATAATATTTTTGGGCAAAATTTATTTAATCAATCTTGTTAAATCATTTCCTTTCTCTTATAAATTAATTCAGAATGCTAGTTAACTAACATAATTAATTTGGCGCAACTGAATTTATTTGAAATTCACGTGTAACGGTAATCCTCGTTACTTTTCCAAACGGTTTTCCTTCCGAAAAATCGTTACTTTTCCCAAAGGACACAATGTTCTGGAAAAAACGGGTCTGAA